ATAATTGCAAAACAATATGCGATATCAAGTATTTATAAAGTTGGCAGATTAGTTATTCGTTTGGATAATTGGCTGATTTATAATTCATGATTGGCGTATAACTTTTTAAAGAATTTTGTACAAATTCATAATGAAAACATTGTCAGTTGAAATGTTTGCGCACTCAAAAATTGGTCGAAACTGATGAGTTTTGGTTGCAGTAGCTTTTATAAAACGGCACTTATCTTAAATGCTTGAATAGTAGATGAGAAAGCTCCCGGAGAAGAGACAATGTAAACAAGTATTGAGTCGAAAATTCCAAGATTCCACGGGTGTTGTAGAAAAAGCAGAAGAGTATGAGGATGAATCGAAAACTTAAAAGAAAACTCATATATAGAGAATTTTATGCTAAGAGATGACGGTTATACAAAATAATGAGCTATACTATATGATTTGTACTTGATTTTAACTTGATTAACACTTGATTAGCTAAACCGTTTTTTGTGATGCTCGGATCTGCCACAAATCATCAATTTATCAATTAGTATTAGGTGTAGTATCAAGAAACGACTTTAAATTATTAACAACCTGCCACAACAAACAAGTTTTCCGTTTTTTGTGATGCTCGGATCTGCAACAAATCATCAATTCATCAATTCATCAATTACAAGTATATATTAGGTGTAGTACCAAGAAACGACTTTAAATTATTAACAATCTGCCACAATAAACAAGTTGTAACAATACTTATTAATGGCAACATCAACAAAGTTCTCCACACTTGTTCAATGCTCATATAAAACCATAAAAGCAACCTAAGCTCCAATAAAACAAATCAAAAAAGCGGCAATTTGATTGTGAAATTCAATAAACACCCACACAAAAGCTGGCGAAAGGGTGTGACACCTATTAGTGTATCCGGTTCAAATTTACAATCACTTATACATACATACATATATACTTACATGCTTACATACATACTTGTAGGTATGTACATGTGGTGTGTCTCTGCTGGTCTCGCCTTAGACGTGTTTATTAACTCCATTTGTATTTAAACAGCTGCCAAAATGAAAGACCTATAAATGTAATTTTATTGCTGGCGGTGCCACGCCCATGCCCACGCCCACAACACGGCCGACCGCCCACAATTGCCCAAGGGTCCGTTGCCTGTACATAATGAATGAAGGCGCCACACCGTGCGCATTTAACGCGCTTTTCTCCAGCCCTCCCCTGCCACAGTTCCTCCTTTTTGTCGCTGCTTAAATAAAAGACGAATTTAAGTTGCCATAAAAATGAAAATAACTTTTTAAAGTTTACCTCCGACGCGGTGAATGAGCGAGCAAGGAGAGTAGACTGAAATTGGAGAGCTGCCACCCATGCACAGTGGTTAACAAATGATTTTTAGTTATTAAGTTATTTTTTTCCTGCGAAAACAACCAAATGCAAGTGAAACCTAAAGGAAGTCCTCTAAATTTGACTTTTCAGTATACCGTATTACTAGTTACTATAGTATTACTATTTATACAGAAATGTTGGGAATGTCTGAATTGATATTTTAGGTATTACCCTATAGTTCCTATAAGAGCATTATTGTATATAGTATATACTCGTAGCTTGTATGTAGTATATAATGATTGCAGTAAAAAGTGGCCACCTATTAAAGCATCATCTCAAACTTTGATATATACAAGTAATTGAAAAATATAATATATGTAAATAGACTGACTTTTATAGGTCGTCATTACAAATGAAGATATTGGGCATATTTTCCACTTCAATTTGGTTCTACTTCTTTTTTCTACATTTCAGAAAATCATTTTCCACATTTCAATTTTGATTAGAAGAGTTTTCTCTTAAACTTCTTTTCAAACTATTCATAATCTCTTCTATCTAAAATCTATCTTGATCCACCGTGAAAATGTGTAATTAGCGGTGGGTGCATTACCTATAATAGAAAAAAGCTGTCCAAGTAGTTGACTTAACCATCTTCTTGAGGCACTACAAAATATTTTCGATAATAGTTGGCTTTCGTCACACTGATCCGAACTTAATTTCAAGTAACTACAAGTATTACCATGTAATTGATTGATTGACTGATTGACACTTAATTGAAAATTCAGTGTGAGATTGTTTGATTTTGGCGAATGGCCTAATGGCTCGGAGCCACTGTGCCTTGTCAGGTTGTTTATTCAGCGTCAGCGTCAGCTGCCAGTTGCCGTTGGAGGTTCTCGGTCGCTACCTGGGCGCCCAAAGCTGTGCTATGGTTATCGTTCGTGTACAAATTAACTTGAGATGCTGCAGCGTGGGAGGACATGTGGGCGTTAGGGGCGTGGCACGGCATGGCGCGGCATGGCGGGGCATGGCGGGCCGGCTATCAGGGGCTTCGGCAACTGTGCACTTAATGAGCGTTTAATTGGCTTACTGTTTACAACATCAGTGGCGTTACCAGTGGTGGTGGCAGTGGCGGTGGCTGGTGCGGTGGCACTTGTCCATAGACTGCCGAGTTGATTGAATTTCATGCAAAAGTTTTTAATTGCATTGTTGTTGTCGTTGTTGTTGTTGTTGCAAAACATTTAATGCATTTCGGCAATTTCGCAGCGTGCATCTCGAGGGCCAAACAAAAGGGAACTAAGCGTTAGAGGGCAACATTAAGGAAAGAAACTTTGCATTAATTTGAGCATTTGAGCTTTATTTTTACATTTATATTTATTTTAGTTTTGTTTGGATTTTATTTTTCTTTTGAAGTGTATTTAATTTTGTGCGCGTCCTAAAACGCGCGCGTAAGAAACGCGCTGCGAGCGCTCAGCTACAAGGAGCGGGCAAATGGGGCGGCATTTTTCCATTTCGCAAATTGTTTTTTGTGCCAGGCAATCACATTGCCATAAAAAAGGAACACGAGCCACCACCACAACAGCAACAGCAACAACAGCACCAACAACAGTAACAGAGACAACAACAAGAACAAACACGTAGAGATTTTTCAGCTTCTGCACGCGAAGATTTGATTTTGAAATGCTGCAGCATTTTATGTGGCCATTAAAATATTTTATTGCTTTTAGCGTAAATTTTAAGCAATAATAAAATGCAAAAAACAACAACAACAACAGCCAAATGAAAGTAAAAAAAAAACGAAAAACAAAACATACACAACAGCAACAGCAACTACAGAACAACAGTAGCCAGACGAGCACGCAGCAATTTAAGGGAAAGAAAAAAATAATAATATATACTCGTAGTATAAATAAAAGGGGCAAGGCATGCCAGCTGCCAAGACAGAAGCAGGACTGCACAAACAACAATAACAACAACATAAAGGCACGCCCTATGCCTAATGCTCAACACGCCCACCGCAATGTTGTCGTTGTTGCTGTTGTTCTTGTTGTTGTTGTTGATGTTTCCGTTGTCTGCTGCTGCGACTGTCCGCCGTAACATTTTGCGTTGACTGGCGTTGCGTTTTTTGCCGCCTCTCATCTCCCATCCAGCAACTCCCAACTCCTTCCGCCTCTCTGCCCGTTTTGCCTTTGCGATTCGGTGAAAATTTAATTTACATTTGCGCATAAAATGCTGTTACATCACTCGAGGGCCACTGTTTGGGCATAACTCGTGCCCGAGCCGGAGACGGAAATAGAGAAGGAGGCTGAGATGTTGCCGGAACTGGAACTCCGTAGTCAGGACGCACATCCTTAGCAGTTTGGCTTCCACGCCTTTTAGTTTGGCTTACACCTTGTCCCGTGTGCGTGTGCATGTGCCTGCCTGCGTGTGTGTGCGTGTATTTATGTATATGTGTGTGTGTGTGTGTGTGTAACATGTGCCCGAGCTCTGCTATTTATGGCAGCATCTGGCTCCCTCCCTTCCCTGCCACACTTGGACACCAATTCGGGGGTTTTTTGTTTTTTATTTTGAAAGCGCTACGCATATAAATGGCTTTCAATTGATTTACTTGCTCCAGCGCCTGTTTCTGTGCTCCACAAATGTTTATACACACACTCGTACATACTCGTATGCATATGTATGTATGCTAATGAACACTGTATAATAGTTGAGCGTGTTTTTCAGCAACTTTCATTTTTCAGCGCCCAACCGTTAAATATTCGTTAACTTTTTCATATTCCTAGGTGGCGTGCAAGGCGGAAGGCGGAAGCTGAAGGTACTGGGTCCATTAATATTTACATGAAAGGTAAGTGCTTTTAAGGGCATTTTCAATTCCTAAATGAAATTCATACAAAAATTTGATTACTGCCTTTTTTTGTGTTCGTGTTTATATAACATAATATCAACGAATTTGAAATACAAGTACTTGTATAATATGAACAAATCTAGTTTGTTAATATATATATATATATATATATATTTAATTAGGAAACTTTTGATCGCTTTTGTATGAAAGTAATAAGTACTTAAGAGTAACAAATAAAAACACCTAAAATTAATTTTGTATGCGTTTTTAAATTTAATTTTAGTTCTTTATTTAACAATCAATATTTGGCAATATTGATTGAAATAAAATATACTTATATCTTACGGTCCCCGGATAGATCACCTGTCTCCCATAGGAAAACAAACTTTGCTTCTTAATTATTAAAATTGCGCCATCTAGGGATTTTCAATTGTACTGCTATTGCCAAAAATCGGACCCCCAGTACTGTAGAGATAAAGGAATGTTTCTGTTTGTTTCCATAGTATGAATATTTGTTGGATCCTTCTGTGGTTTCAGGCCGTCCATCACGGCACTTACTGTTGCAGCTCCACTTATTCAAATGAGTTGAAAACACTGCGTTATTTTTAGTTATTTATTAGCAGGTGTTGTGCGCGCACCCAACTACGTTCTGGCCACATTCCCACCAACGCCTCTTCTTCTTTTTTAATTTGTTCACTGCTGTGTCCCCCACTTCGTGAAATATGAACGGCATTTCTAGTTTTTTTTTAAAGTCGCTTCTGTTGTGGTTGTCTGTGAATTGGCACGCCGCGGGAAGTCATTGAATATATCGGACACGGAGTGGAGCTCACAAAAAATGCACCTGTTTCTCAAAACGGTAATCCAAAAGTGTTTTTTTATTTAAAGATACTGAATGGTTTTTAAAATTTATAAACTGGAACGAGAGTTGGCTCACTTGCGAATACCTATACGTGTGGCTGGCACCACAGCAATGGGGGCAGACGGAGCTTCGACAGCTTGAGCGACCAATGTGGCTGCAGCGTCAAATTCATCGGCACTCTCGTATGCATCAGCTTCGGCCTCCTCAGCTCTGGGTGGACGCACACGCGGTCCATGGCTGGCACCTTCGTTGACGCCTTGCAGCTCTGGGAGCTCCTCCGGCTCAGCTGCTATATTTTGTGCTGGTGGCTCATCAGGCTCATCCCTGGCTCCCGGCGCTAGTCCAAGGGAAATTTGTACATTAATGCGCTGCTGCATCATTTGTATGGGGCTCCCAGTCGGACCGCGGGGTGAAGCATACTGTCTGGTTCCGGCTTGGAACAAACGATATTCCGGAGCGGTCATGGGCGCTACTTCGAACATGTCCATAAATCTGGAAATTGTCCCGAATATCGGATATGTAGACCGGTTCTCCGGACGTGTAGCTTCAATCCATGACGTACGCAGCCGAGTTATGATATCATCCAGCATTTTGGGAACGGAAAATGCAAGTATGAGGGCTGCAGATACATATGTGAGTTGAGATGGAGTTGGACTTCTCAAAAGTGGCCCCAGCAGGACTTACCCAACAAACACACGGTTAAGGGGTTGACTCCGGCAACATATCTGTGCATCTCTACGAGCAGCAACCACAGTCCGATGCTAACGCAGATATTGCCACAGAAAATCAAATACTGACCGGTGGCCACGGCACGGTTGTAGAAATTAACCGCTCCCCTTACGAATGCAAGGACCGGCTCTGGGTGAACTTGTAGGTTGGCCCCCAGGATCTGCTCCAATGGCCGGAAGCGTATAAATAGACGTACAAACGAATACATCATCACCTCAAATAAAAGCACAAACATCAAAACGGAAAACACCTTCACTGCCGAATAGGCGCTCAGAAATCCAATTAGTGCGATACTAGCAACCAGATATAAGCTCGATAGGGCTGGACACTTCCAGTAAAGCACTTCGTGCATCCATTTTGGCAGACAAGCTTCTTTGATCAACTGGTATAAATCGCCGAAACTGAAGATTATGGGGCGAATTTTGCGAGGTCGCACGGCTAGTGTTGGTAAGCTTTGGGGGCCGTCTGCCATATTTTGTTTGTAGAACTGGACAGATGGACACAGCGCGAAATTAAAGATGCACCAAGAAAGTCAGAAACGTATATACAAAATTTTTTTTGTTATTTTTTCACAATTTTTCCTGATGTTGATGCTTCAAAGAATTTAAACGAATGACAACAGTCCAAATCTGTTTAGCTAAAAAGCTAACCTCGAAACAAAACAACTCAAATGTCGGGGCCATCTTGTTTTCCAACCAAAATACATGAATGGCAATTTTTATATTTTTTCGGAGCATTACGATGCCAATTGGCAGAAGTTCCCCCATATTTGTTGTTCAATTAAAATAAATCAGAGCCCATTATCTAACAGCTGTTAGATAATGAACAAAGTGTAACAATTTCATGTAAACAGTGCTTCCCATCGCAGTTTTCGTACGACGTTTTCTAGCACTTGCTGTTGCAAAAAAACTTTTGTCCGTGCTCGTCACAACTTGTGACTCACAAGTCATATTTCCATTTGTAAATTGAAAATAATTATGAAACAATATCAATTGATATACTCAGTGAGCAAGGGCCCCGATCTTTGGGAGTCGCACCTACCGATAGTAGCCCGCAAGCGCGTTCCATGGAAGGTCGTGGCAGGCATCGGGGGCCTTGAGGTAACACACTTAACGCATTCCAATAGAAGAATTAATAACCGCACGGATGGACTTCTTTGCAGATGGCCAACTGGCTTCTCCTTAGACCACTGAAGTTTCTTCGTCCGATTTTGGACTCGGAGCCCTTCGTTGGCTGTGAGTCGCTGGCCAACAGTATTATTGTGGATGACGTCAGCGAGGCTATGGGCGATTTATCTCTATTGAAGGCAGATATGCAAGCATTTGGGCGTCAAATGGAAGGTGAACAGGAGGAGAACGAATGTCAAAAGTCCTCAATTGTTGTGAAGTCGCCTGCCCAGAATTGTGTGCGACATTTGCCGAAGAAGGGACTATCTATTGGAGTTAACGACCTTATGTTTCTCGTAGGCGTGTATCCCGATATGAAGGCAATGACCGATTTGGAGAAATTCGAATTTCGCTTAGGAGTTTGCCGTATCCTTCATCAGTTGCAGCTCGAGGAGAGCTCCACAGAATATTTCACATCCAGTGTCAGCGTAGAGGCCTCCCAGTCCGTGGATGATTCTGGTATTCATTTAGATAACGACTCTTCCAGCGAATAACTAACTGGAATTGTGGTTTCAGAATACACCCATACACTCCCTACCCAAGCACTCGAAATGAGCAGCAAACAAACCTCAAACACTTTATGCAGCTTTCTGAAAACACACACCCTGAAATGTATTTTTTTCAGTACCCATCATAAATGGGGTCGGCTGCGATGCCTAAGCAACATTATTTTTAAACAATTCGATTGATCTGACGGAATTTATTTCCAAATATTGCTTATTGCTCGACACTAATTTTGTAGTCCATTTGTGGATAAATAAATTCAAATAACCAATAGGTGATGTTAAGTGTAGTTCTGATATTGAAGTATAGAACTAGAATTATAGATTAGCATCGCCAATACATCTGGGTTCATCTTAGGACACTTGACATTTGATGAGGGCGCGCCCAGTTACAGAAGCTAAACAATGGCGATGTGGCAAACAGTTTGAAATGTTCAATAAATAAATAAAATGGCACTACGTCGAAATGGACTAAAAGATAGACAGATAGCAGAGACGGTCGAGCGACAGTTACGAGCCCATCAGTCGAATATCCTGGCCCTCCTTCGCTCTGCCTCTCACTCTCCCTCTCACTCTCCCTCTCTCTGTGTGTGTGTGTGATGAACTTTGGCGATTTGATTGCGCCGGAAAAAAAGACTTAAGGGTTAAACGTTTGCTGAAAATAGACGCCAGTCGCATTCGCAAATTTGCAAATGAAGTGCGACGAATTGTAAAATGGAAGCGCTCGAAACGACTGTTAATGAAATGCGATAAAACGCCAGTGAACTGAAATAATGTTGGGCGGCTCTTGCTCTGACTCTGACTCTGGCTCTTTGTCTGGGTCGATGAGGGGCGACGGCAGGGTAGCGATGGGAAGCGGAGGGGAGGGCGCAGCCATTGACAACATGCCGCCAATCGATTTAATTTTAAACGTTGCGTTTTTGGCTCGTTTCGATTTGATTTTGTCTGGCCATGGTGGCGAAGGCATCACTGGATTTGTGGGCGTTGTTGGCGATTGTGCGGAAATTAGCAAAAGTTGCCAAACTAATGGGAAATGGCAACTGAGAACTGGGAAACTCGCGAATAGCTATTAGCTACTGTGGAGAGCTGACGGTGGAGAGTACGAGGAAGGACCAAGGTGGCAGGAGCAATGTATTCCAAACTTTTGCTACAAAGTAGGAAAGGTGGCAAAGGTGTGAAGCAAATCAAACAGATGCTTTGAAAGATGCTACGCTTCCGTCATTTAAGACCCACGGATAGACGCAGACTAGTGCGCTACTTAATCAGCTCGAGGTGTTAAACCTACTTTGTTTTAAGGTACCTTAGTTAGATAGTTTTCAAAACCGAAGATTTTGTGTTGTTCGAATACAGGAGACTATATACAGAGGCCAGAAATGATTAGAACAATATTTTTCGTTCGAAAAGTTCTTTGGTTTGTTTATACAATTTCTTTTTATTTCAACAGTACATAGAAGAAATCAACCTGCAGATCTTGCATCCTTCGCATGCAAATTCGAACTATCGCTTCAATAGGCTACAGAAATAAAAACCAAAAATCCCCAATTATGTAACGCCTTTAAGGATTATAACAACAGGTCTTTCATGTTGCACCACCACTTCTAGTGTTGAACTGATTTTTGCCTCGCATTTCACTTTCTGCTGTTTGTGGCCACGAAAAATAAAAGCTTCATGATAGCTTCCAACTTGCAAATCGATTGTCTTTGTGACAATAATTGTATTGGCCAATGTCAATAGCTTTCACTGATTGCGTTCCCGCTTGTTTGCCCCGTCGAGGGCCGGAAGTGGTTGCGGAGGATGCCCCAACATCCCAGATAATTTAATGCAGTCATTTAACAACTTTGTTGGACAGTTTTCTATTTTTCTTCTCTTCAGCTGAACTACAAGTACAAACAAAAACACGAGAGTAAATCAAAACTGTGCGGGATAGCTGGCTAATTAGATTAAGCTGAAAAACTAACTACAACTACAGCAACAACAGCAACAACAACTACAAGAACACCCATTGCTGTTGACACTTTGGACGACACTTGGGCGGGAAATGGCAGTTCGTTTGTTTTTCTCCCATTTTTTGTTTTTTGTTGCAGTTGCAGTTTCAAATTTGACTCGGCGCCAATTGTTGTTGTTGTTGTTGTTGGTGCTGCATCTAGTGTCTCGTTTAATTAATTTCTTGGCCAGCAAACAATCATCATAATTTTGCGACAGAGACGTTTAAGAAAACGCTGCCGCGTCCGCCCCCCTCTCATCTCAAAGAATGATGCTGAGCCTTTAATTTATGCATCCACCTATGCTGTGTGGGTGCGCTGGGTGGCCACGAGGATGGGGAGCAGGAGGAGGAGGAGGAGGATCTGGAGGGTGGAGGCGGCCTGGCAAAATGAAAAATGGCCAAAGTTGCCGCCTGTGACTTGAGCAAAAGTTCAACGAGGTTGGCGCGGCAGTTTTTGAAGATATTTTTGGCAAGTCTGCAGCTGCAGTTGGCAGCGCTTCGACGCCGAAGCTGGCAGAACTCATTAGTTGCACTCCAGTTGGGTAATTCGCCACGCCCCCCTACAGCCTACTGTGTGTACACTAGCCGGCATATATAGTGGGATACAACAATGGAACAAGGGAACAGAAATTTCAGAGTCTCTCCTAGAATGGACTCTTGAAAATATGAGAAAAGATTACTTTCGAAATGGTTTATACGTTCAGTTTGGAGTCGTTTTTTTTTTTTTTTAAATAAGAATAAAATGTGATCCATTTAGTGAAAAAACCAATATAATATAATAATATTAATAAATCATAATAAAAGATAATATGACAATATAAATCATTATAAAATCAATTAGAATGCATTCCTCCATTATTAAGAATTTATTATAAGTACAACACCATTGCTTCTATAATGCCTTAAATATTTATTCTTTAATAATTATTCGGCCTGATTCATTTTCAATTCCATTTATATTCTACGGAATTGAAATTGGTAAATGATTTTTAATTCCCAAAACTAATAAAAGCCTTTGGATGGATAGAGATAGGGTTCCAATAATTTCGACTTACCGCTTTTCAGAGTTAAAAGCAGATATGTACATTGTAACTAAAATATTTGCAAACATTTAAAGCATTTTAAAAGCAAAATGAAATAATTCTTGCTTAATTTTTGTGTACATTCGAAACGCTGAACCTTTTGCATTTGCAATCATTAATTGTAGCCTTAAACTTTACTGGCTACTGCTGATTATCCTTTTTTGAGTCAACACATCTCGTTTACCTACTAAAAGCGTATTTAGATATGCCGGATATGCCCCCTCTATGTGGGGTGAGTATGCGAGTATCTAATCCAAAACGCGATGCATTGGCATACAAATGTCGACTAGTGTGGGTGGCTCTTTGGCATTTGCGGGGGGCGGGCCGCATCGATGGGCGAGTTTATCTATTGACTGGTTGGTTGGCTTTACTGGGCTGTCTGTTTGTCCGACTGTCTGCTGTTAGCCCCGCTAAATATGCAACAGACGGCTAAACGATATAAGCGTCGACGGCGGCGTCGGCGTCGGCGTTGGCGCTAGCGTCGAGTGAGTTGGCATCTTGAATGGGACGCATCGTGGCTGTCGTTGGCACTTGTGTGTAGAGCCCTTCAGTGAGCACTCATTGAGTGCAACACGCAGCACATTCTGCAGGTGACGTTGTTGTTGCTGTTGTTGTTGCTGTTGCGGTTGTTGTCTTTGTCGTCTCGGCTTGCGTTAGGCAACACTTTCGCTTGCGCCAACAGCACAGGTGACATGCCCCAAGTGTTGAATGTGTATGTGTGTGTGTTTCAGTGCTGTGGCACGTATTTAAATTTCGATTTCAATGGCCCCAAAAATTGCATAAATTATGGCAGCCCAAGCGCCTGCCATGAACCATGAACCATGCCTAGGATTTGGGCCAACATACACACACTTAAGCTCAGCTGTACCGATGACCGTCCTTAAACGGCCAAATCCTGTGTGTACGAGCATTTAACACACAAACAGACACAGACACACACACACACACACACACACAAAATCACCCACAACAACAACCCTACACATCTCTGTGGGGGGCAAGAGGGAAAGAGCGAACAAGCTGGCTGGATGTAGTTTTTTAAACTGACTACAACTATCGATCTCACTTAAGCCGAGGCACATGGTCGAGCCAACGAGCCATCGAGGCATCGAGCCACCGTATGGAAACTGGCAATAAAATTTAAATATTTTGCATATAAATCAAATCGATGGAAATTTTCGGGGACAAAATCCGCACGAACCAAAGGAAGAGCGACCGAGTGAAATACTACAAAGGTAACAAATACACACATACACATACACCTACACCTACATGCTCATGGCCGTATGTGTGTGCATGTGTGTGTGTGTGTGTGTGTGTATTGAATTGCATATATTTACGTGCTCCTGTCAGTTGCCAGGCGAGCAAGCGTCGGCGCCCAAAGGACCCGTTTCCGTTTTGCCAAAGTGAAAGCCTCTGCAATGGGAGGCCAACGAAGGACAGAAGTGGACGAAAAGGACAACGGAGCACGGACTATAGACTGGCGGGTGAAGAGGCGGACTAAGCATTTTGTGGGCGGTTCGTGTGTCTGTCGCACCTCCTGATACAAATTGTGAAGACTTGAGCAACCGCTGCTAAATGAGCGATCAGCACGGCTTGAGGCTACAAGTACGTAACTTACAGACCGAGTGTGTGAATGGGATTCTCGCTACATATATATACACATGTACTTGTATGTGCATACATATATACATATACATATGTATGTGCGCTTGGTAGCCTAGGCTATGGCACCGGCATTAGGCTGGACTTTAAAGCAAGGCATAGATTTGCTAAATGTTTTATAGTTTTTTGGGAAGAACTACAAAGCGGGACTTCAAATAAAAACTATTAAAAAAATTTAAAATACAATTTAAATGTTTAATGTATCTAGTTGGTGTTCCATTTTTCTAAGTATATAAGCATTTCTTTCTTTTCTTTTTGGTTGCCAAATAAGCTTATAGAATGCAAATGCTAATTGAAAAACTTAAAACATTAATAGATCATTAAAAATGGAACTATTAAATTGAAGTCTATTATGACGACTCGGACTCTGGTAAGATACTCGTATACGAGTAAATTGCTTAATACAAAGTAATCTTCAAAGAATC